AATGAACTCCCCCTTGGGGTTCATAAGTATTTTTTATTATATTTCTGGTGGGTCCAGGAATAGTGTTGAACCCGGGTGAAAAGTGTACCTCCATCAGTAAACTCGAGATTGGGATTCTTAGGATTAAAATAATATATATTTTTAGAAAATATTTTTTTTTTTTTAAAGTTAATATTCAATGAACATGAAATTGATAATGTAATTTTTTAAAGAAGTCATGAACATGAAATTGATAATTTTTTATTTTTAATAAAACAAGTTTTATTCAATACATTGATAAGATACATTGATAAGTCATGAACATACAAATATTATTAATGTTGATTACCAAACTTTTGCCAAATATTTTCAACCAAATCAGCTTTCAAACGAGCATGTATCTGTGAATCTCGAATTTGATTGCGAACACCGTGCATATTACCGGCATGTATAGNCGTCCTCTACTATCATATTGTGCAGTATGACACAAGTTCTCATAATCCTTCCAATTTTATTTATGTCCCATAGTAGAGCTGGGTTTTTAACGATTGCAAACCTTGATTGCAATACTCCAAAAGCCCGTTCGACATCTTTTCTCGTGGATTCTTGACGCTGAGCAAATAGCTCTGCTTTAAGACCTTGAGGAAGTGAGATAGATTGGATAAACGTTGCCCATTTCGGATAAATACCATCGGTGAGGTAGTACGCCATACGATAGTTGTGGTTGTTGACCTTGAAATTAACTTTAGGAGCTCGACCTTGTATAATGTCATCGAAAACTGGTGACCTATCAAGAACATTAATATCGTTGAGGGTACCTGGTAATCCGAAAAATGAGTGCCATATCCAAAGATCATGTGACGCCACAGCCTCTAAAACAATTGTCGGCTTAGCCGACCCCCGTGTGTACTGGCCTCTCCAAGCCGTTGGACAATTTTTCCACTCCCAATGCATGCAGTCGATGCTGCCTATCATCCCTGGAAAGCCACGTACCTCGCTAACATCAAGTAATCGTTGAAGATCTTCTGNCAAGCCGTTGGACAATTTTTCCACTCCCAATGCATGCAGTCGATGCTGCCTATCATCCCTGGAAAGCCACGTACCTCGCTAACATCAAGTAATCGTTGAAGATCTTCTGCCGTAGGTCTTCTTAGATACTCATCTCCAAACAACTGTATTATCCCTTCAGTGAATTTTTCCAAACATAAAAGCGCAGTACTTTCCGCCATTCGGAGATATTCGTCATTTGAATCTGCAGATTTACCATATGCCAACATTCGTATAGCTGAAGTACATTTTTGAAGGGCAGAAAGCCCGTACCTTCCATGAGCATTTCTTCTTTGCTCAAAGTATGGAACTTCATTACTCAGACGATTGACAATGCGAAGGAACAAAGGTTTGTTCATTCGAAAACGCCTCCTAAACATTTGAGGTGTGTATGTAGGATTGTCACAGAAGTAGTCGTTCCAAAGTTGGATGTGTCCTTGTTCACGACCTCTTTCGA